GCTCTTTGATCTCCGTTTCCCTTTTAAAGCTCTTTCCGATCTCCCTTTTCGCTCCTGTAAAAGTGTCTTAAACTGTTTGAAGCCTGTTTTAAATGCTTGCAGTCGTTAGCCCACCTCCTGAAACCTATGCAAACTTAATTTGGTGTTGTTCTGAGTCTTCGTTAATGCTTTTCAATGAGAGAGAGAAAAAATCACCAAAAATTAACGAAGACTCAGAACAACACCAAATTAAGTTTGCATAGGTTTCAGGAGGTGGGCTAATGATTGCAAGCATTAATCTGTTCCAATTGGAATGGATTAACCGGTTTTCAGTGCATTCCTATGGGAAATGGTGTTTCACTTAACGATGTTTTCACATAACGATTTTTTTATGGAACCAATTAACATCGTTAAGCGAGGCACCACTGTATTTCATTTTGTTGTTTTTCCCATGTGTTTATGTTTGTGTGGTACTTTCCCTGTTTGATGGATTTGTAAAAATAATCATTTATTTGATTAATTTACTGTGTTTATTTAGTTAAAGATGTACATTCTTGTGAGATTTTCTTGGGCTTGTTTGCTGGTTGTTAGTTGTACTGTTGCCTGGTTTTGAAGCAGATTAATTCTCTGTTGCCATGCCTCTCATTTTGGGGGGTTATTATGTGCTCTTAAGGCTTATTTGGACTTACAGCACTAGAAAAGTGAATGGAGAAGAACAGAATAAAATTACCCCAAAGAGGTGGTCTGCCTCATGGTTAGCAAAAGTGCACAAAAACAATAGAGGAATCCCTGAAACAAAACTGATGCGAAAGGTTTCATCATGCACACCCTTAAGGATCATATTACACGCTGGATTAGATCAAGACTTATACATAGTTTGAGTACACCTGCTGAAATCAGTAGGACTAAAGTTAGGCAGTCCTACTGTTTTCATTGGTACTACTCAAAGTATGACCAATTCTAGATCTACCTCACTATCTGTCTAAATATCCACCAGACAGTTGAAGCATCTGACTTCTATTTTCCTTAGAAGGAGGGATAAGTTGATGTTTCTGGTTTTCATAGTTGTGAATAACCTTAGAAAATGGGAGCAGTGTCTGCTGAAAAAACATTATAGTTGTAGTTGGGTAGACTTGGACTTGGACCAGGACTTGGAAGGTCACATTCAATTTACACTCACTCATGAAGCTTATTTTGTAATGTTGGACCAGCTGCTATTTGTCAGTCGAATCTGTCCCACATAGTTAGGAGAATATGGTGAGGAAATGTCATGTATAGATGACTGTAAGCCTTTTTTGAAAAGGGCAGAATATAAATGTGAGTGCCTGTGAAAGGAGCTGCCATATATGAAGATAATAGGTACTATGTTATGATGATGTAGTACTCTGTCACTTCTGTTTACAGAGGGGTTTATGTCCAAAATTGGTTGAGAACCATGTTTCTCCTTGCATTGAACACACATCATTGTTCTTTCTTAAACTGCAGAAAATTGGTCTTGATTGTACTGTAAATGAAGCCCTCGTCCTGTATAAACAAGGTTGTTGATTGGGAAGGAGGAGTATTTTGGGGGTTTGGCATTAATTACTTCTCAATAATCTTGGACTTCTGCCTGTTCTGAATTTTAAAACCGAAGTGGCATGGATGGTGCTTTTTGTCTATTTTTTGTGTTCTGCTCAACCATAGGAAAGATTGTTGTTGAGGTGTCCTGGAAGCCTTCATAAAGAAGGGTATTTATAGTTCTCTAAAAGCTGTCACAGCAATGAGGTTGGCACTGCAGTATGTACTACAAAGGGCATCCTGGGTGATAGAAACTTCCCCAGACTTGATGGGGCCATGTGCTCTACAGAGTACATGGATAAGCAGGTGAATATTCAGTACTGGGCTTCTGCTTCCCAAATGAAGCACAAAGTATAGTTGCAGAGAAGCCTATGTTACGGTAATTCCTTGTCCCTTGAAATATACTATTACTAAATATTCATATATCTTGACAATGTAAGTCTTTTTTCCTTAATCAGGAAAATTAATGTATCAGTGCAATTCTAGTTCTATATTGCTTACATTTTCATGCTTCAGCTGGGATAATTCCTGTCATTTCGGACAGGACTACCTGAGTTTAGACTTGAGGATCCTCGGGGTCCCTTACAGCTCTAATTCTATCATTCTGTTACCAGCTGTTCCACTGTGAGAAGATGAAGAGGAATTATGTTTACATGTAGTAAGAGTATCCCCTTTTTTATAATGTGTATTTTATTTTTGCTGCTAGAAGTTAGAGTAATATTCATAGAGATACTGAAAAGTTTTTCTTACTAGCATCAGGTAGTGTTAGACTATTTACTGATGCTTTTCTTTTTTGATTGGCTTAACCATATTAGAACAAACATGATCTGAATTTATTTATTTGTTTGTTTGTTTACTGCCTTTCTCCCCTATTACAACTTTGAAGTCATAGAGTACAGTACCCTGCATCTTAGATTTGAATAATATACATGTAAGACAAAATGTGTAGAAGCAAGCAAAATATAGACATTTGGCAATATCTAAACTGGTACAAGAAGCAAGGTAGTCCTCCAAGGTAAGAATAATGCAGGGGAATTGTTATAAGTTCCTAATATTTGGGGGCTCATGAGAAAAATGAAGGATTTAATAGTAATTCTTATCTCTGTGAAGAGTCAAAGCTCTTGAAGGGTGAGGTCAACTTCTGTCCAGTTCTCACTGCTCTCAAGCCATCATACTAACTCCAAACTTCAGTAGTAACTGAATTACAAAGACAGAGATACAAAACTGTAATAAAGAAGATATGCTTCATTTGATTCTTTAAAAAATATTTTACCATATCAAAATAGTAAATAGAGTGCTGAATTAAGACTCCGCAGGCCAGGGTTCTACTCAAGTCATGGAAGTTCACTGGGGGAGTTGAACTGGTAGAACCACTCCAAAATCTCACATACCTTGAAAGCCCTATCAGGTCCCTGTACATTGGTTCTGCCTTGATGGCACATAACAGCAACATATATACCTCAGGGTCTTTAAATGACTGGTTTTATGCTATCCATTGTTTATAGTATTTCTTTTGTATATGTACAGTATTCATGTTTGCTTTGTATGTTTGAAAAATCTCAGTGCTGAAGCATTAGGTTGAATTTACATGGTCTTATAGTATTGTATCTAACCCAATATTATAAAAGCATAACTTGGGTAAATTGAGTATGTACAAAGATACATCTCGAACTACAGAAGTCTATAATAGTAAGAATATAATATTTTGTCCCTGTGCCATCCCCCACCTCTGCATATGAATATAAAAGGATAAGTAGTGGCTGTTATGCTCAACATATGTTACCTGTTAATCTATTTATATGTCAAACTGAGATATATTTTAGTACTTTCCTTGCAGCTTAATGTGAGATTATTTTATTTGTTTTTTATTTGTTTATGTATTTATTATTCCTCTTATTCGTATATAAGGGATTCAAAGTAGTTTACATGTTTTTTAAAAAGCATATAAAACATAATAAATAGGACATTAAACATGTGTAAACAAACAATGAAAACTATTAAACATGTATAAATATTAAAATATGATGGCTAGAGATGGGTACAATCCTGGGTTGTCAGATTATACCAGATCGTCATCGTGACATGACACCACAGGTGCCGCACATTCACTTCTCCCACCCCCCTGCCTGGAGTCTCAAGGCGGCACACCTCTTCTGGTCCTTTTTGGATGTTTGACCAGTCATGGCAGGAGTACAGACTTCCTTTTTCCACCTCCTCCAGCAGCTGGTCACTCAAAAGCTGCACAGTAGCAATATCTGCCCACCTCCTTGTCTGAATGGGCAGCTGCTGGGGGAGGTGGAGAAGGGAAGTCTCCTGCCACAGTTGGACAAACATCTGAAGGGGAGCAGAAGAAGACCATGTACTGCCTTTGAAAGGAGGAATCTGGATGGGGGTGTGGGAAAAGGGAATGTGTGGCACTTGTAGTGTCGCAGTGATAGATCTGGTACAATCTGACAATGCAGGATTGTGCTCATCTCTAATTATGACTACTACCCCATAAAACAGTCAATTTTAAATGTCATGTTCCTGCTTTAAAAAGAATGTCTTTGCCTGCCAGCAGAAGAATAGCAAGGAGGGAGCCAATCAAACCTCCTGAGAAAGGGCATTCCATATTCTTGAGAGCAGACATTGAAATGTCCTTTCTTGTGTCCTCACCAGATAGACCTGTGAAGATGGTAGGATTGATGATCATAATTCTTGTGGTTGCTCAAGTTAGGAGTCTAGGTGCAGCATTTTGCACCAGTTATAGTTTTCAAATCATCTTCCGAGGCAGCCTCATGTAGAACATGTTACAGTAACTAAAATGAGATGCTATGAAGGCATGCATCACTGTACCCAGATCTGGCATTTTCAAGAAGGGGCACAGCTGGTACATATGCTTTAACTGTGCAAATACACTCCTGGCTATTATGGAAACCAGGAGTATACACAAGCTGCAAACTTCTGTTTTCAGGGGGAGAGTAATCCCATCTAAAACATGCTGATTCCCTATTCCATGAGATCTTTCAGCTGACCAGGAGCACCTCCACCTTGTTTGCATTACATTTCCATTTGTTCATCCCCATCTGATTCTTTACTAAAACCAGAGACTGGTTTAGAGTCGGGACAGCTTGCTTAGATTTAGCTACTTAGGAGATATAAAGTTGGGTGTAATAAACATACTTAACTATTTTTTTAAAAAAATCTAATGATTTTAAACCTTGAGTTGCTCCCAGAATGGTAAAACAATTTGGGAGTTTTTCTGGAATATCAGCATTCTTGTTCATTACCCTCTTTCTTTTGATACAGCTTACTTCATTGCTCAACAAGTCTGAAGAGCAAAAGGATGAATCTCCCTCATCATGGAGGCTAAGTCTGCGGAAGACTAGCAGTCAAAGCACTCTCAACGAAAGCAGTACTCCTCGTGATACGCTGAGAGAGAGAGGCGAGTCCATCTATCGCTCTTCTTCAACCCCTCGGATTTCTGCACTGTTAGACACTAAAGACAAGGTGTGGAACCATTTGGCTTTTCTTATTGTTAAATGTATGACTTAAAAGCTAAGTACTGTAGTTCTGATTTGTGCCTTTTTAAATATCTGGACTTTTTATTAGTACTCCACTCACTACTTTTGAGTCATTCTTGGCAGTACTATGTCCTGATTAAACAGAGAACATTAGAAAAGCCTTTTATATAATGCATTATATTGGTTGGCTCTTGCATCCTGGTTCTCACAGAGGCCAGCTTCTGGGAGGCCCTCAACTAGGCTATGATGATGACAGTTTTTGTTATAGTTTGTCTCCAAGATTACTTGTAATAAGAGATACACTGATTATAAATAAAGAGGTTCCATTTAACCATTATGTGTAATAATAGCAGAATCAAGAAAGAAGTGAAGCTGTTTGTGTCACAGTGAGATGTTGTCTGCAAAGTATTTGCAGCATTTATGCATCAGTGTTCTAATATCAGTCACAGTTATAGTGGTCATGGCTGGTTGTGGAGGTGGGCAGATTGGGTAGAGACAACGTGTTATAATTTGTATATGGAACTTACAGGTCTAAATTGCAGTTGTTGTTGTTGTTGTTGTTTAGTTGTTAAGTCATGTCCGACTCTTTGTGACCCCATGGACCAGAGCACGCCAGGCCCTCCTGTCTTCCACTGCCTCATGGAGTTTGGTCAGATTCATGTTGATAGCTTCGGTGACACTGTCCATCCATCTCGTCCTCTCGTCCTCTTGTCCCCTTCTCCTCTTGCCTTCACCCTCTCCTAGCATCAGGGTCTTTTCCAGGGTGTCTTCTCTTCTCATGAGGTGGCCAAAGTCTTGGAGCCTCAGCTTCAGGATCTGTCCTTCCAGTGAGCACTCAGGGTTGATTTCCTTCAAAAGGAATAGGTTTGTTCTCCTTGCAATACAGGGGACTCTCAAGAGTCTCTTCTAGCAGCAAAATTCAAAAGCATCAATTCTTTTGCGTTCGGCCTTCTTTATGGTCCAAGTTTCACTTCCATACATCGATTTGACTATGCGGACCTTTGTCGGCAAAGTGATGTCTCTGCTTTTTAAGATGCTGTCTAGGTTAGTCATCGCTTTCCTCCCAAGAAGCAGGTGTCTTTTAATTTCGTGGCTGCTGTCAGCATCTCCAGTGATCATGGAGCCCAAGAAGATAAAATTTGTCACTGCCTCCAGAACTTCCCCTTCTGTTTGCCAGGAGGTGATGGGACCAGTGGCCATGATCTTAGTTTTTTTGATGTTGAGCTTCAGACCATTTTTTGCATTCTCCTCTTTCACCCCCATTAAGAGGTTCTTTAATTCCTCTTCGCTTTCTGCCATCAGAATGGTATCATCTGCATATCTGAGGTTGTTGATATTTCGTCCGGCAATCTTAATTCCGGTTTGGGATTACTCCAGTCCGGCCTTTCGCATTCTGCATATAAGTTAAATAAGCAGGGAGACAATATACAGCCTTGTCGTACTCCTTTCCCAATTTTGAACCAATCAGTTTTTCCATATCCAGTTCTAACTGTTGCTTCCTGTCCCACATATTGATTTCTCAGGAGGTAAATAAGGTGGTCAGGCACTCTCATTTCTTTAAGAACTTGCCATAGTTTGCTGTGGTCCACACAGTCAAAGGCTTTTGCGTAATCAATGAAGCAGAAGTAGATGTTTTTCTGGAACTCTCTGGTTTTCTCCATAATCCAGCGCATGTTACCAATTTGGTCTCTAGTTCCTTTGCCCCTTTGACATCCAGCTTGTACTTCTGGGAGTTCTCAGTCCACATACTGCTGAAGCCTACTTTGTAGGATTTTGAGCATAACCTTGCTAGCGTGTGAAATGAGTGCAGTTGTACAGTAGTTGGAGCATTCTTTGGCACTGCCCTTCTTTCGGATTGGGATGTAGACTGATCTTTTCCAATCCTCTGGCCACTGCTGAGTTTTCCAAACTTGCTGGCCTATTGAGTGAAGCACCTTAACAGCCTCATGTTTTAAGATTTTAAACAGTTCAGCTGGAATGCCATCACCTTCACTGGCTTTGTTGTGAGCCATGCTTTTTAAGGCCCACTTGACTTCGCTCTCCAGGATGTCTGGCTCAGCAACCACACTATCTGGGTTGTCTGGGACATCCAGATCTTTCTGGTATAATTCCTCTGTGTATTCTTGCCAGCTCCTCTTGATGTCTTCTGCTCTGTTAGGTCCCTACCATTTTTTGTCCTTTATCATGTCCATCTTTGCACAAAATGTTCCTTTAATATCTCCAATTTTCTTGAATAGATCTCTGGTTTTCCCCTTTCTATTATTTTCCTCTATATCTTTGCACTGTTCATTTAAGAAGTCCCTCTTGTCTCTCCTTGCTATTCTTTGGAAATCAGCATTCAATTTTCTGTAACTTTCACTATCTCCCTTGCATTTTGTTTCCTTTCTCTTCTCTGCTATTTGTAAGGCTTTGTTGGACAGCCACTTTGCCTTCTTGCATTTCCTTTTCTTTGTGATGGTTTTTGTTGCTGTCTCCTGTACAATGTTACGAGCCTGCATCCACAGTTTTCCAGGCACTCTGTCCACCAAATCTAGTTCCTGAAATTTGTTCTTCACTTCCACTGTGTATTCATAAGGGATTTGGTTTAGATTATATCTGACTAGTCCAGTGCTTTTTCCTACTTTCTTCAGTTTAAGCTAGAATTTTGCTATAAGAAGCTGATGATCAGAGTCACAATCAGCTCCAGGTCTTGTTTTTGCTGACTGTATAGAGCTTCTCCATCTTTGGCTGCAGAGTACATAATCAATCTCATTTCAATATTGCCCATCTGGTGATATCCATGTGTATAGTCGCCTCTTGTGTTGTTGGAAAAGAATGTTTGTGATGGAGCTTGTTCTCTTGACAAAACTCTATTAGCCTTTGCCCTGCTTCATTTTGAACTCCAAGGCCAAACTTACCTGTGGTTCCTTTTATCTCTTGACTCCCTACTTTAGCATCCCAGTCCCTATAATGACAAGAACATCTTTCAGTCTCCTCAGCATTGGTGGTTGGTGCATAAACTTGGATTATTGTGATGTTGAAAGGTCTCCCTTGAATTCGTATTGACATCATTCCACCATTTTTGAGATTGTATCCCAGTACAGCTTTTCCCACTCTTTTGTTGAAAATGAGGGATACTCCATTTCTTCTACGGGATTCTTGCCCAGAGTACTAGATACGATAATCGCCTAAATTGAATTTGCCCAGTTGAAAGGTCTCCCTTGAATTCGTATTGACATCATTCCACCATTTTTGAGATTGTATCCCAGTACAGCTTTTCCCACTCTTTTGTTGAAAATGAGGGATACTCCATTTCTTCTACGGGATTCTTGCCCAGAGTACTAGATACGATAATCGCCTAAATTGAATTTGCCCATTTCAGTCCATTTTTGTTCACTGACGCCCAGGATGTCAATGTGTATTCTTGCCATCTCCTGTTTGACCACATCCAGCTTACCAAAGTTCATAGATCTTACATTCCAGGTTCCTATGCAGTATTTTTCTTTGCAGCATTGGACTTTCCGTTCACTTCCAGGCACGTCCACAGCTGAACGTCTTCCGACCTGAGGGGCTCATCTTCCAGTGTCATATCTTTTAGCCTTTTGTTTCTGTCCGTGGAGTTTTCTTGGCAAAGATACTAGAGTGGCTTGCCAGTTCCTGCTCCAGGGGGATCGTGTTTAGTGAGAACTCTCCACTATGACCTCTCCGTCTTGGATGTCCTTGCACGGCACAGCCCATAGTTTCTCTGAATTACTCAAGCCCCTTCGCCTTGACAAGGCAGCAATCTGTGAAGTAGATTAAAGCAGTAGATTGCTTTAGATGAAATTGCAGTAGATTTCTGCAAAAAAAAAAAAAAAAAAAAAAGGTATGACTTCAGGAAGTGTGTTTGGGTGCCTTACAGACTAGACCAATTTATTTTGGAGTTGAGCATCACAGCACCATTTAGTGAGATCCTAAGTCTTTTGTATACAAAAACTTAGTGTAGGATTTGGAAACAATTTTTCCCTTGAGCACTGCATTTCTTCAGGGTTAATCTCTTGGAGCTACACAATGGCAACAACAAGCCTGAATGGCTATTCAGGATCTGGGCCCATGTATTCTCTGTTTTTCTCTCTTTCTTCTTCCCTCCTTCCTTGCTCCAGACTGATGCTGGGGGAGGAAAAGATTGCTGTTGCCAGAACTGTACAGGTTTGTAGAGAGTTTCTGAAACCAAGACAAGGGCAATAGATTGACCATCCAGGCTCTCTTTATTACTTCTGAAACAAATCTTGCACATCAGGATCATGAAGCTAGCTTGACTATGTTATGAATGTTCATCCATAATGGTTCATCAGGAATTCTTTTTTCTCTGCCATTCTTTTTATCTTAATTTAGAAATTGTTACTCACGTCTGCCATGTGGGAGTTACTCAGATATCTTGCTTCTGTCTAAACTGTGGTCTTGGAGTTGTTCCCACGATGGGATGATCTGTCCCCTACAGCCTTTCTTCTCTTGTAGCCTCATTATCCTGCTAGCTCTTAACCATGGACAATTACATACAGTAGGTATTACAGTTGGTTAATACTAGCCATAGTTCACTCTTACCCACGGATCTGAAATCAGCTTTCAAATCTTGAAAGGAATGTAGAGGAACTGTTGGAGTTTTAGTGATGGGGCAGGGGGACTGGAGAAGAGGAGTGCACAGTTTACAAATTATATTTGTACTAGAGAAGTAGGGAATAATAATAAGAAAATTTATAATTAAAACATTTCAATAAAATTAGAGTAACACATAGTAATCAATTTCCCACAATTAATGTGGCAAACATTTAATTTAGAACAAAGCACATGAAAACAACATTGGGTGGTGCAGAAACTATTAAAGGCACTAAAGTTTTTTGAATGAATGTTCACTATTGCCTCTATTTGAATTTGTTGTTGTTTCAACAGGACAAGGACAACAAAATATATTTTGCATCAGTAGCTCCTCGAAGGTTAAACAGTGCAGGGGACATTGAAGAGAAGGAAAATCGGTAAGCTCCTTTGAATTTGGGGCTCAGCTATTATTAGTTAATATTTAAGAACTGATTCCTTAGAAGAGTCCCTAATTAACTACTTCGTAGGAATGCATTATATAATTATTTTTGTATTATAATTCCAGTTACCTTTGAAAATTGAAGACTGTGTGCTGAATGTCAGTCATCGCTCAAATATACTTTTGATACATTTAAACTCACACAGATATTCACAAGTGTTTGATCTATTACAAATAGCCTTATCTTCAAATTTGATTACATCTGCTATTGTTTTATTCTTTTTTAAAAAATCATACACTAGTCCTTCACTGTGACAGGGATTTTGTGATCTGACATGTAGGGCATACATCGAGTTCCTAAGCATGATGATACTTTCTGTATATTTCAGAATTAATTGAAGCGTATGCTTCTCTCTACAAAGGCTTATGCCTATGGTTCCCTATAAATATTTCTTAACATTGGTGAGACCAGTAATACACTGTGGCTTGTTAGCTTATCAATGTGTAGCAAGCATGTCTAAATAGATTTCATTTTAAGACTCTATTCTCCTCATTCCCAATTTGCCTTTATAGAGAATCTGCTGTTAACTTGGTACGAAGTGGTCCTTATACTCGACAACAGTGGAGGGATGAGCCAAAGGGAAATGAAGCTGCTACAACCGGTGTTCCTTCCACTTATGTTTCTACCTACATGAAAAGGTGAGTCATATTAGAAAACCAAGGGGCAGAATTCTATTGGTGGTTGCATCAGGTTTGTGTCTCAGTCACATACTTGCCTGAGCCCATACTGTTTGTTAAGCTGTGATACACCCTGCTACCTCAGCAATTAGCTGCAACTAGCCTCAGCAAGTTATGTAAACTTTATGAAGACATGAATAGGATTCCTATCAAAAGGCAACACCTACATTACCTACATTAGTCACAGAGATTATCAGTCTCCCATAAAAATTAGGGAGCACAGAATCATAAGTGGTTTGGCACATCTGCTTCTGTTGTACATGAAAAGTAAAAGAGAAGAAATTTCTCCCTGTCCATATACTTACTACTTCCTGACAAGAGAAAAGTCGTATCTATAGGAAAAGCACCTTATGTAAAGCAGCAATTTTTCCCCTGTACTGTAAGGTTTAGGAAATGGCGGTGGCTATTGTAAATTCTTGTTCTTTGTGATGGTCAAATTGATACCAAATGCCTATACTGCTTGCTTTGAAATAATACAGTGGTGCCTCGCTTGACGATGTTAATTTCTTCCAGCGAAATCGCTGTAGAGCGAAAACATCATCAAACGAAATGAAAAAACCCATTGAAACGCATTGAAAACTGTTCAGTGTGTTCCAATGGGCTGAATACCTGCTGGTCCAGCGAAGATCCTCCATATGGCAGCCATTTTCTGTGCCTGTAAAGCGAGGAATCCATCCTAGAAAACAGTGGGGGGCCATTTTCTTCAGCCGGTGGCCATTTTGAAACCCGACGATCAGCTGTTTGCTGATCATCATAAAGCGAAAATCGGTTCCCAAAGCAGGGAACCAATCATTGTTAAACGAAAAAAACACATTTAAAACATTGTTTTGCGATCGCAAAAGCGATCGTAAAAACCTAATTGTATAGCGATTTCCTCATTAAGCGAGGCAATCATTAAGCGAGACACGACTGTACAAATATAAGGAGAAAATATAGTCATTTTATTTAAAGTTAACATTAAATTTCTAATAACTAAAAACAAATATATTTAAATCATTATCCATGGTTTGACTATATTATGACCAAACAATTGAGCTGATTACACTTAAGTACATGCAGAGAGAACAATGGTTGAGAAAGCCAGAGAAGATTTTAAAAACAATAATTCTGATTGCCAAAAACATTTCAATATTATGGGAATTTTTCGTTTCTCCAGATCGCAAAAGATGATCCATTAGATAAGACTGTTCAGATTTGCAGTAATTTTAGGTCATATTACTAAAATATAAATGTATTTCATTTCAAATGTCTTATATGCAAGCAATGCTTATAATAGTTTCTGAATTTATTTCTTTCCACATTGAGATTCTTTAGTACTCTTTGCATGTTTAACACCAAATGTTCACATTATTTTCTCAAGGTTCATGTTTTCTTATTGGGATAGTTTTCTCCTCTTCCCAGTATGGATAGTTTTCCCCTCATAGTATTTAATTTATTTATTACGGTCGAGTAACCAGCTCATAAAACATATTTATGGCTAAAATATACAAAATGCATTTTAAAAATTCACAACCAGTTCATGAAACATATAATGTGGCTAAAATACACAAAATGCAATTTAAAAAGTCTACAACTAGTTCATAAAACATATTGTGTGGCTAAAATATACAAAATGCAATTTTAAAAAGTATACAACAGATAATTAATTGTGTACTAATTGTAAAATATTGGGAGAATCAAATAAGGCATTTTTATAGCTATCCTTAAAACCTCGGAATCGTCTAGGGCAAACTAATTTGGACAGGGTCTTTGGGTTATAGGGAGTCCTACCTACATATTTGTAAAGATTTGTAAACATTTCCTCCCTTTGGTTGGGACCACAACATTTCTCTATGCTCGACAATAAACCACCCTCATGCTAAAACCAGTCAACCTGTGAACTCAGGAAACTATAAGGGAGCTTTGTGCAATTGCTTCTGCACAAGATTTTGCTGCAGAGTGTGTAATAAGGGAGTCTTGATCAGAAAGAAGTAACTTGATGTAAAATTCATCAAGTCTCCCTAGATATCTGAGAATAATTAGGCTCAGGAGGTTGGTGCGTAGATCTTTACAGAAAAGACAGTGCAATAAAACATGACCTACAATTTCCACTTGGCCATCATTATATGGACACAGGCAATCAGAAATAGGTATATGTTGAAATCTTCGCTCCATGAGCTTAGAGGGTAAAACATTAAGTCTCGCTAATGTGAAGGGTCTTCTGGTCTTTGTTGTCATTGTGCTGGTCAAATATGAAGGTATTGTAAAGGCATTATTAGTAACAACACTGTATTTGCCTGACTGGCTCATATGCTCTTGAAGTTCGATGTCCCAGGTTCTTTGTTTGAGTGCCACTTTAGCACCAACATGCACCATCACCAAGAGAACATTGGTGGGAAAGACCATTTGCCTTATTTCTTTTGTGAGTTGGAGTTTCCAGTCTGATTGAAAGGAGTCAAAAAGTGACATCTGTGCCAAGCCTTCTGAAGAGAAGATAAGCTTTAGCCAGTAATTACACATAAGGACTTTGGCGCGTGCTCTTCTGGCAATTAAGCCAGCCTCCAAACGAAGGGCTACATCAGGTGTACAGGGGGGTACAGTCAGAATAGATCTCAAAAATTTGGTTTGAACTACCTCAAGAGGACCTAGGTCAGATAAAGCAAATAATTGGCACGTGTAGAACAATTGAGCAACAACGTTAGTCTTGGAAACCTGAACGGCTGAGGGAATATGGTATTAGCAACCATACCAATTGCCATAGTTTTTATGTAGTGACTGTTCAGATACTCTTGTGAATAAAGCCATGTTACATTGTTGCTCACTGTATACAGAGCTTATAACCATTTGTGCAATTAAAGTTTATGATTCAGTGGCTGAAATAATGTTGCGTAGTGTGGCAAACAACACTGGAGCAGGCCCACTGAATCTGAGGTTTTGCTGAATTAACTCCTTCATAAGTCCACTGTTTCAAATGATCCTAACTCTGGTTGTGACTTACCATGTTAAAGTTAGATATAACTACAAAAGGCCAATTGGCTCCATGGAACCTATGGAAGAGTTTGCTGCACAAATCCTCACTGATTCAATGGACCTAGTTTAGTGTGACTTACTACACTAAGCAATAAAATTTCAGTGATAATATCTGTAGTTTGCCCAGGTCAGGAGATGTGTAGTAAGCAGTATGTTTAGTTCACGAACATTCTATGTAAATAATGTGTCAGGAATCAAAGCACAGCTCTACCTTATAGCTGCATTTTTGCTGTACTGATTTAGATTCCTTGATCTTAAGTACAACTTTCACTTAAAACATGTTAAGCAATAATGATGATTAGTAATCCAGGTTCTGCCTGATATGTCAGCAAGTAGCAGTTTCAAACCTTAACAGTTATGTCTTGTTTGTTAAAAGTTCTCTGTACACCAATGATTGTCAAGTGCAACCTAACTAATGTTATGCCACTAGCATAGTCTATTTTCTGTTATTTTCTGTTTATACAAACTATTCTTCTACTAAAAAAGTGTTGAGCCCAACTCATTTCTATAATGATGTCCAAAAGTTGGCTTACCTTTGGTGCTAAGATTGGGATTTATCTAAAATCTTACTTTTCTTCTTCATCCCATCCTCATCAGTAATCTGTGTTAGCTATGTCTTATTTTAATTGGTTATGCTGGTACAGATGATATTCAGGTACTTTCTGTTCATCTTAATTAACCTTACACTTTTAAAATACTGTATCACAAAACAAATCAGTTCATCTATATGTCCATATAGGAAGAGCATTCACTCATTATAAATACAATTATAGAATTGTTTTAATTCAATCAGTTAAACAGTTTCTTCAGTATTGCTCAGAAAGTTTATCAAAATCAAGCACAAGCATTTTTCAGAAATGTGTAGTGATTTCTTACATAGGTCGCTTCTTTGTGATGAGGTATGTATTTATGACTTACGGTAATTGGTTTCTAGGAAACATGCTACCTCTTTCAGGGTTCACAACTTGGTATCAACTTGACTTCTAGATAACCATAATACGGTTAACAGAAAATAAATAGCTTGATTACAGGGCTCTGGACTTTGTGTTTATCCTTCAGCCCTCTTCTAGAATCTCTTATTCTGTATTCTTAAAGAAGGTGGTAACAACACAGAGACATGAAGCCTTTTTTAAATCAGTTCAGTTGAGTGAAGATATACATGGTAATCTTAACAATCATGAACCACCTTGAATTAATTTCTCAGTTCCTGAGTCTGAATGATCAGTTTAGCCATTAGGAATGCAATAAATTAGAAGTCTGGACCCTCATTTATGTTGTCTTGAGTGTTCTGTGGGTATTGAATGAAGGGGAGACTTCGGGTGTAAAAACACTATGGAAATTTGGTCTATATGCATTCTTTTATTTCAAATTAACAGTTCTTATGTTTAAATGGAGTTAGTAATAACTTTTGCCAGTGCTTGCACGCTTTTATGTAAGTTTCTTTCATTCTTCCTCAAATTCTGCTTTTAATTCTCTCTTTAACTAGATATCTCTGATCATTCATTCATATTCTAGATGTGTTTGTTCTGTCCTTTCCCCCAAGAAAATAGCTTGCGACAACATGTAAATCTGAGCTCAGATTTCTACTTTCTTGTTCCTTATCTTACCATGCTACTTTACCCCCTTTTCTTCAGTCTTGGTAGCTAGGGAATTATACCAGAATACCTGGGTCCAAACTGGATTTCTTGATAAAGCTGATTCAGAATTTCAGCAGCTTAAATTTTTCTAGCAAATAATTCCCACCCACCCATCCCCCGGCAATTAAGCAGGACCCCATGTTGGTCTGCAACAATATTTTATATCTTCTCTGAAAGAAGTGATTTTCTGCTGTCTTACAGTGCCTCATTTGGTAGAAGTAGTGACCTCAGCAGTCCCTACATTTCAGCCAGTCGCAATGCATCTTCTGCTACCTCACCCACTGTCCTTGGTTCACCTTCCTCCTTGGGCACAGAATGGCAGCATGCCTCTTGCCCCACATCTGTCAGTTCTAACACTGCAGCATCAATACGCCAGTATACCAGGTAAGGGTTCATAGTATTTTCAGAGCACACTGAAGAGGGCTCAGTCAAAGAGCCCCGTAAGTTTTGTGTCAAAGCAGTGATTCTCTTTAGTGTGCTATTTCCTTTTTGAAAGATCTTTCTAGTGAATTCTGCTGCTAATTAGCAGGTTATTCAGTCTTAAGAAATGCCATATCATTTATCAATTCCATTAACATGTTGTATGCGTGTTAGTTTTTTTGTTTTTTGTTTTATTAAGAGTTCAGAATATATTCCTTCTATGTAATTCTTTAAGGATAACGAAGAAAGTCTGAGCATGCAGACCAATCATTTGCTTAAACTGACTCCTTTGGGCATTTGATTCTAGACTTCTGATTTGTATACCAAAGAAATGTAGTTTAATTCTTGTTAATACTTATTCCTTAAACTATATCATTAACTTTCAGAATAACCAGCTGTTGTATAAAGGCACTATTTTACTCTAATGGCTTGATTACTCCAAGATTTGGACCTAAAGATAGGGAATGTCTTGTCCTCCTGATGTTGCTGGACTCCAAATCCCATAATCTCTGGTTGTTGGCTGTATCAGTTGAAACTGATGGACTGTGAGAAGACTTCTGGAAGGCCAGAGGTTCCTCACATCTCTTCTCAACCTTATCAGATAAACTGTGCTGTATTATGTATTATGAAGGAATAAATGTTCCAAATTTCACGTGACAACTAACCCATTGATGGTTTACAGTAGTGCCTCGCAAGACAAATGCCTTGCAGGACAAAAAACTCTCAAGACAAATGGTTTTGGCAACGGGGTGGGTGGGTGAGTTGTTGACTTGCAAGACAAATGTTCCTATGGTCGTGCTTCACAAGAAGAATGTTTTCTGTTTTTTGTTCCTGCCTCATGTTTGCTGATTTTTAAATGTTTTTTTTAATATTTAAAAAGTTAAAGTTTTTTTATTGAAATTTTAAAAATCATCTGTACAATATATATGGCTTTAAAGAGCACTTAATAAACCTTTTGTAAACCAAATTTGACTTTGTTCTGACTTTTTTTGCCCATAGGAACACATTAATTAGATTTCAATGCATTCCTACGGGAAAATGCGTTTCGCAAGACGAATTTTTCGCAAGACAACATTAACCACAGAATGAATTAAATTCAGCTTGCGAGGCACCACTGTACTTTGTTTTGTTTCACAAGATGCTTTAGAGTTATGCATGAGTTTTGTGTTTTATATTTTTCAGAGCTCCTTACAGGCAGCAAACTGATTCTACTGTAGAGAGGAGTACAGAGGGCATCTCTTCTAGCATTCCTCTAAGTGTGATAACAAATCGCAATCTACCTAGTAGTGCCAATGGTGTTACAACTGGCAACTCATTGACTGGAACAGAGTCCTCTGCTGGTGATGCCAGGGATCGAAGAAGGTTAGTGAGTCTTTTGGTGGTGGTTTTATGAGCTGTGTTTGTGCTTAAGATTGGTGTGCTCTCATCTATGGTTGCACAGATGATCTCCTTGGTATTTACAGTGAAAATAGGTTGCTGCTTTCAAGAAATGGGTCCAAATTACTGTTTGGAAAAAGGATGCGTGTGTGCACATGCACACACATGTGTATAATTGTGATCACACATGTACTCTTTTTTATGAACATACGTTGGATGCAAATGCATTTTTTTTAATGGAAGAATGATTTTAAGGTAAGAGGTATGTGCTATTTCCATTCAGAGCATCTAGTTCCAAAGTATTAAAATATCTTCATTTGTTCCAAAAAAATTGTATGTTTTAGAATGCTATAATCCTGTGATGTAAAGCATTTGCTGAACTTTGTTCTACATTACTCTGCTGATCAAGCATTACCAAAGTTTCCACTCATTTGGACTTCACATAACAATCGAAAAGGTATTTCAATAGACAAATCACCTGTAGATTAGATGCCTAGTTTACTGTTCTCTGAGAATTGATGGATTTGCATCGTATAAAGCCTCGTGGCGCAGTGGTTAAAACGCTGTACTGCAGCTAAAACTGTGCTCACGACCTGGGGTTCAAATCCCAGGTAGTCGGCTCAAGGTTGACTCAGCCTTCCATCCTTCCGAGGTCGGTAAAATGAGTACCCAGCTCAAACAAACAAACAAACAAACAAATAAATAAATAAATAAATATTTCAGTATTGTAAATCCACATTTCTTTTGTTTTGTTGCTTTCCTTTCCTTTCCTTTGCTTAGGTCTCTGGATGCAGAATCGGAGGTTGGGAGTTCAGTTCCCCACTATGCCTCCTTGAGAGGGGCTAGACTCAATGATCTATAGGGTCCCTTCTAGGTCTGCAGTTTAAAAATTATTATTATTGAGCTCTATTCAGACTTCACCTTTAAATTGAGATTAAAGTAAATTTTATTTTAATTGGGATCAGTTCGGAGAAATAAATTGGATTTTGAAAAATATGCATCACCTGGTAGGAAGACTGCAAATTTTTGAGTGAAAGCTAAGTAGCTTATAATGGAAAATGGCAGATAGTTGCTAGATAACACCATACAGTGGGGCCTCGACTTACGAACGTCCCTCCTTCCGAAAATTTCGAGCTACAAAAAGCTCTGGCCACAAAATTTTGCTTCAACTTGCGGCCAGAGCTTTGACCTACGAAAACAATAAGGCAGGGGGGAAAGGGCGGAAAATTCAAACTATTGGTGGCGAAGAGACTGCTTTTTCACCCCATGGTTAGGAAAAGGGAGGCTCAGCCTCCCAGGCTTCCAACACCGCCCTGACTGCCGTGCGGGGTGCTGGTGGTTTGGAAGCCTGGGAAGCCAGCACCTGGCGCAGAGATCGGTGCGGCTTTTGGCTTCCCGGGCTTCCAAAGCCGTCCCCGCTGCCCTCTGATCCCATCCCTGCTGCCTCTTGGCTTCCCGGGCTTCCAAAGCCACCCAAACTCCGCGCTGGGTGCCACCTGCCCTCTGCCTCCCATCCCTGCTGCCTCTTGGCTTCCTGGGCTTCCAAAGCCACCCGAACTCCGCGCTGGGTGCCAGCTTCCTGGGCTTCCAAAGCCGCTCCAACCACTGCACTGGGTGCTGGCCTCCCGGGCTTCCAAAGCCGTCCCTGCTGTCCTCTGCCTCCTGTCCCCGCTGTCTCCTGCAGTGGTGGAGGTAGCAGGGACAGGAGGCAGAGGGCAGCGGGGACGGCTTTGGAAGCCTGGAAGCACCTGGGTGCCAGGTTACCCGGCTTCCAAAGCTGCCCCGACCGCCGCACCAGGTGCCAGTGCTTTGAAAGCCCGGGAAACCTCCACAGCAAATTTTTGGATTTTTTGTTTTGTTTTTTGCAGACCCAGGGGCTTGCAGTGTTTTATTTTTATTTTTTGGTCATTGTTTTCTTTGACCGGAATGGATTAAATGGTTTTCAATGCATTCCTATGGGAAATGGTGCTTTGACCAAATTTTCGAGTCGTGGCCACCGTTCATATGGATTAATTTCATTAAGTCGAGGCACCACTGTATGGGCTTCTAACGCTTAATGGCAGCTGTCACAATAGTACATTCATCTAATTCAGTGTTCCCAATGCTGCAGGTTTCTCTTAACAACACAACATAAACTCTCAGACTAATATTAGATCATTAAGATGCCTCCGTAATCGACAACCTCAACTTGCCTCTTTGAAGCCTCTGGATTTAAAACTGAAACACATCGATAGATTTAGAGAAGAAAGAATAAGCCATCTGGAATGTCCTTTCCTTGAAAAGGATTTTGATTTACTCACTTGGATTCTGTAACTGACTGATTCATGCTCAAATGAGTTCACTGCATCCATTATGTCAAGTGAAAAAAATCTAAAGCCCTACATTTATGCAAGCTTCTCTATTTAGGCATGAGTCACATTTTCCCACAATGTGTGGGAGCTGTTTCCATGCGATCCAGTGTTTAACAGCTACATGGATGAACCCCATATGCAGTGCATCCCACAAAAATGTCATTTCAATCAGCCATCCATAGAACAGTTAACTAGGGTGGGACTATGCAGGAGTGAAGCAGAGTTGACAGCATAAGTGGGCCTAAGAATAAATTTTATTTGCTTCATATATTTGTCTTGAAAGCCAGTGCAATGTATTAGATAGAGTCTAAGGCTCAGGAGACCTAGGTTCAAATCCCTGTTCAGTCATGGAAATTCAAATGGTATGGTAGTGGTAGCCTCCTCTTTACACATTTAACATACAGTTTCTTGAAGATTTTTTAGGGTTCCTATAAGATGGAAGTGACATGGTTGCACGTAATAAATATGTCTGCTATAGAAGGCAGTTTTCGAGTGGAACCTGCCATAATGTTCTATTTTTGTTTTCATCATCAGTTGTGGAATTAACTGTAGAAATAGGTGGTTGCTTGTGTGTGTGTTTGAGAGAGAGAGAGATTGTGTGGGGGCAATTACAGGGTAGTTGGCAGTCTTTTCGTTTCAAGAGTTGGGGTATGAAAATTCTAAAGCATACTGCACAGACACTAGAGGCCCAGAAGATCTGGATCATCTCTCACAGACATGTAACATCCGTTTTTTGGATTCTTGCCTACAGTTTTTCTGCACTATCTGTGAAAGAGGTATACTTAGCCTTAGGAAGTGGATTTCATCTGAAAACTTGCAATTTGTTTAATTTTTTTGGTGGTCTAATAAAAGGTATCACCCACTCTTGCATTTGTGTAGTCTTGGAGACCATACATCCTTTGAGTTATTGTGCAGCATTAGATTGATTTGGTGGTTCTACTATCTTGAAATGGTGTGTGCTGCTTTAACAGTTTTGAAAAATTCACATCTAGTTGATGTAAATGCATTGTATCTTTTGACCTTGCCATTGTTTATTCGCCTTTTGTACTTAAAACAGTAACTTGAAGTGCTTGAGATGTGCATTATGGATATGCAGTCATGACTGAAAATAAGTGTCATTTAGCACATTGCAGAACTGTTTAAACTGATTACTCTCAGTTGAGGTCAAGTGTTGAAAATCAACATATGTCATTCCAAAGTGTGATTTTCCATCTATTCCTCTATGGAAAACAAAGGGCCACAGCCCAATTCTTGGGAGTGAATGGACAGGCTGGCTTGGTGTGTATGCATGTGTGCCCCCAAGAATTGTGGCAATGACCCTTTCTTTACCAGGCAGGAACAAATATAAAGTTAAAACCTGGCTTGAATAGTATTTCTGCCTGTGATTTGCGCATTCTGGGTTCCTTAAAGCATTTGAAAAATATGTACACTCTTGTGATTCTGGAATGTTTATAAAGTGCCAAGGCCCTAGTCTGGCTGTGAAACGCTGTGATGAAAAAGGCCATCATTCCAGTCTGTGGAGCTCAGGCAGCTTCCTGATTTTCAACAGAACTTCAAAAAATGATGCAGATCAGACAACAGATAGAACCAAATGGTGTCGGCATTGGAACAAATGCAGCTGATCTCAAGTGAAAACAAAGTATTGTGTAGAAATGGTAGCAGTGAAAAAGGCTAACTTTTCCCCTCTGCTGAGCTTTTTCATCTAATATGGGGTAGTGATGCTGGTGAGATTCTCTTATGTGAAAGAGATCCTTGAATTCATGGAGGACCACTATAACAGTTTTGCAAGGTACTTTGATGATAATTAAACATCAAGCTGGCAAAGTGGAAATTCCCATTAAAAGTTATGCTAGATTGTTGTCAAGAGGATTCGGCTTTACTCACTTGGTATCTATAACTGGCTGATTCACTGATGAATGAGTTTCCCACATACATGGATTACCCATGTATTACTGCAAGTATGCATTCTGCATTGTGTAACTGCTTGCACAATAGAAACTTCATTGGATACTGCCCTGCCACTAATTCATTGAGTGTGGTTCACTAGTGCATTGGATGTTTATGGATATGGTAGAGCAGGGGTCCCTAACCCCTGGGCTGCAGACTAGTCCTGGTCCATGGCCTTGGAAGGACTGGGCCATGGAGATATAGTCGAAGGAACACACGTATACGCATGCATTCCTGTCTGCCCACACACACACACATGCCCATCCCCCCACATGCACGCACAGACGTATGCACATACAGATTCTGTAGCCTCACGATGTATTTGAAAGTACATGGCCTACTAAATATAAACTTAATCTGGTAATTAAAACTATCTGCACTCATTCCTGGAAATTTCTGATCTGGCCACAGTCAACTTAGTCACATCCCAGTTGGATTACTGTAATGCTTTTTACACGAGACTGCCTTTGGAAAGTATAAGGAAACTTTAGTGAGTCCAAAACGCAGCACCAGATTGCTAACCAGGACTGGTCACAGGGATCACATAACTTCTCTGTTACAGCAGTTCCACTGGCTGCCAGTCCATTTCTAGACAGAATTCAAAGTGTTGAGTGTAATGATCATCTGGAGAAGCCTTTTGTTCTGTCTCACCCCCTTCACAGGTATGTTTTGTGAGTACATAGGAGA